TTTTGAGGACAATATTAGATCCAACCCTTATTTAGCATCCAGATAGAAATGGCAATATTTTTGGTAGGAAATGTCACTGAAAAAAGAAAGAATTTTTATCACTACACAAATTGTGTTTGTTTTGATTATTGAACAAATCTAAAATTTATATTAAAATTTTAAATATTGTATTTTATTTTCCTTCCAGTTGATGCAGGTGCGCGAGTTCAAGGATATGTTCAGCATGATAGAACATCACCACAGGGACATCAGACTGGCACACCTTACTGGCAAAGCCAAGGATCTCATGTAAGCAAGACACTATAAACTGTGGCAAGATTATTTCTTGATTGTAGATAGAGAAGGTTACCAAGAAACAAATCTTGGAGATGATAGATATTTCAGCAAATAAATGAGTAATCAGCATAAACAGCAGTGGCACACTTGGTTTTTGTAAGCATTTATTTATCTTCATTGCTTGGGAACTTAATTTTCAATAAATGGACAAGAGAACTGGTGGTAAAGATAGTGATTAATTGTTTTTTTTTTTATATTTCAGTGAACATGATCAGCAAGACACAAAGTTTTTCAATATTCTTGTTCATATGCTGGGAGAAGTTAGCATGTAAGTACTTAATAGTAAAAATGCCTGCAAGTAGCATGGAAGTAAAAACGAGAGAGAGAAACCAGTAGCTAGAATTTACTTATTAATAAATGATTAATAAAACTGGTTGATTAATGGTTATTTTATTGTTTATTTTGTTATGGAAAAGCAGATTTAAAAATGATTCTGATAGCCTTGCTTTTGGATAAATTCATCAATAACAATTGATGAAGGATTATAAAGTTTAATGTTGTGTTATTCCTAAGTCAAACCCAGAAGTAGACATGTCAAGTTATGAGAGCTTAAAACTTTTCTTTCCTGCGTCAAAAGGTATTGATCAACTGCAAAAATTATTGCACTCAAAATACAAAGTCAGTGAACTGGTTCAGCAGCTCGACATTTCCTCTAGGTACTCCTGTACTGTGGGATCTTGTTTGAGGACCTACTTTGAATTTCCATCTCATGGTGTTTGTCCCATGCTTTATTGTGCAAAATCCATTAATGCAACTATCGAGTTCACACATGATTTACTTAAAACACTTTCTAAAAGGGAATTTCCTTCCTGTGTGACTTGTGTTACAATCGATATCATGACGATTACACCTGAAGTAATGCATAGAACAAACTGTCTGAATTCTAGAGATGTTTGCCAGTGACTGAATTTGATTTCAACAGATCTTTTACAGTCACATGCATAAGAGCCCATAGTAATGATGTGTAATATAGAAGAGCTGTCCAGTATGGGTAAAAATACAGCACAATAGCTGGGTGGTAAAATTAATATGTACAGAATTGTACAGTTTGGATAAAGAATCCATACCATGTGTTTCTTTTTTTATGTAGCCAGTTTGGGTAAGTGAATGGCTTTGTAATAACTTATTTATTTGTTGATTGATTTTTTTCTTCATCTTGGATTGTTATTTATCTAACTGTTTTAATTTTTATTATCCTAGGATTGAGAGTCACCAGCAGCAAAAACAGGACCTTCAAAAAGTTCACAGCTGGTTCATGGCTAATAAACAGACTTTACATTCCGCCCCTGTAAGTAGAAACATTTGTACTAACACTTACATTTCAAACAGGCATGAAATTGTTTAAATCAAATACAACTTGTCTGGGAAGGCTGAAAGTAAGCCAGATATCAGCCTTTTTGTTTTTTATTATCTGCCACAATTAAAACATGGCATGGTAAATGTATATGATTGCTTTTACAGACATTCAGGAGTTATCTCAGCTGTGATCTCAATTAAGGCACAATCCTTAGAATTTCCCCCATTTGAAAAATTATATGATATATTTAAAATAGATAGTTGTCTTTCTTTTCAAAAGAACCTTCTTATTATTAAGATAGTGTAATGAGAATTTTTTCAGTTTATAGCCTCTGTCATTGGTGCAAATCACTACATTGCAGATAGAATATCACTTTTGATTACATTTGTTATAGATTTTTGGACGAGCTAAAAAGCAGCTGGCCACCCAAGGTATCTTGCGTATAGACCCAAGGACAGGATCAATGAGACCATACAGTGGAAGTACTGGCAGTGCTAGAAGTCGGAGGAACAAGGCTGTACAGCTCATGGAAGTGGAACAGGTAAGTGCAGAACTGCAAAATGTGAATACTCTTTTTTTTTTTTACCAAGCTAACTTTATTCAAAAATTTGCTTTAAAGTGGCTGATTGTGCAAGCTATGCAGCTGTAAAGAAAAGACTCTGTACATAATGTATTTTGAATGTGAAGCAAATGCCAAGTTGACAACATAATTACAAGGTCCAATTTGAAAAACTTATGGCATTGTTAAAATGTTTATTTGTTCAAATATGCATTTTATGATAATTTTCTGCTGAGTTAATGCATTTATTTTAATCTGTTTAAATGACATATGAACTGGATGCAGTTATTGCCTTTAGAAAGTAAGAAGACTAAATAGGTGTGCTTTATGTTGACATACGCTTAAAATGACGAATACGTGTACAGCCAGGCAAAAAAAGAAGGAATGAAAATTCCAAAAATTATAGGTATTCACAGGATGAAAATTAAACAAAGAAAGACCAAACATTTTTCATTTTAATTTATGATAGCAACAGTGGAATGGAAGTGGCAGGGTTTAGGTTGAAGCAGTAGATTATTTTCTCATTCAAAGTATGTCTTTCCAGTTTGAATCACCTAGGCTACAGTCCCCTCCACAGCTGAATAGAGAAAAGGTAAATATTGAAAGAGTGCAATAGCTCTCAAGTACCTGTTTGACAGAAGTACCATATAAACCTATCTTAATATATAACTTGTTTAAGTGCTTATACAAGAGGTGTAGTCTAGCAAGTTTTTAAATAAATATTATGTACACTTTTCAGTTGATATGTTAAATTCAATCATAGTCATACCTGTACATTGAATTGTCTTATTGCATATAATAAAGTGAAGATATCTCTTGATAATTTTACTGAAAATATAACCTTGTCAGATAACCCAGGGAAAGCCACTGAAGGCAACAGCACCCAGCAAAGAAAAAATACAAAATGAGAATATTGCTCCAGCTGCCTTACCAGCCACTGAAGTGCCAAATAATACACCACCTGCCAGTACAGAAACCAAGGTAATTAAAAATAGCAAGAATTTTGCTGGTGAAATCATTGGTGAATGATAACAGTCACTGTTAATTAAATATTAATTATATGATAATATCCAGGAGCTTCTCTTTCTGTTTTAAAGGTATGAGTCCAAAGATAAATGTCGAATTGATATTTTTGTCTTTCTATCTGTATAAGATCTAATAAGTTCTTGTTTCCATGGAAAATGATGGGAAAAGCGATAAATACAAAGATATCTTTTAACAAGAGCACACTTAACAAAGCAATTTACTCTTGACAAAATTTAAACAGTTTTACCAATACTACATAATTACATCTTGTCTCATTTCAGCCAATCCCTCAACCTCCCCCTGCCCCTAGAGAAGATGTCACTGTGCCTCCCAGAATGGTGCACCCAGTGGCAGCTTTAGTCAATCCCCATGTTGTGCAATTAAGTGAACATCACCCCTCCACACCTCAGCCTCATTTTGACATTGACCAAATGTCTGATGTCAGTAGTCCTGTGAAAATAAGAGTAGAATCTAATCCAGGTAATGAGGACACTAATTATAAAATTTACAAATGAATTAGATAATAGCCAGTGGGGTTGAGACAGAGAGACATAGTGTTAGATATTTTGAGAGGTTTAATTGATGTTTTGTTATAGCTAATAACATCATAAATATCTGTAGCTAATAAATTTTAAACTGTTGTTTGATATGAGCACAATAGTCATAGGTTGCAAATGCACTCATGGACGACACCCAAGTTTTCATTAATTCATTGCAAGTTTTGATACATATTTCTTTCAGTAAAAGAAAAGAAAAAGAAAGGGAAAGGTATTTAAGTGTCACTGCTTCTTGCTTCCAGGAGTGATATTTCAGTTTCTGTTTCACATTTTATGTTAATGAAATCTGTTCTTGGCATATCACATTCATTTAGTGATATGCGTCATGCCTGAGTGTCAACTTTTACATGTCAACTCTGGACATCTCAAGATTGCTAATTTGACAGTTTTCTGCTAAGTGTCATTTCAGTCCAAGTGTGTTTTTAAAATATTTGACTAATTGTCAAATGTCAGGTGTGCTGATCTGATAATTATTTATTGATGTCAGAGGAGCACATGTTATGTGATCTGGTAATATTGACATAACTCACGTATCTGAAATGCTCAGGTATGTGCCTGTTCACCACTGCCTTTTTACTTTTAACTCATATTAAAGAAAAAGTCACACTTTTATTATAATAGCAGTCAGTTTTTATTTTTATGACCTTTTCATTTTTGCTTCATCACTGTTTTACGTTTTGTCACTTTTGTTTACTTCTATCTTATTTGTTTTTGATTTGGTTTAGTTTGTTTGCAAAAAGTTGGGTTTCATTTCTTCATCTTCTGTGTGACATTCCTCTTTTTTGTTTCCTAAAAAAGTTGAAAAAAAATTTATCTTCTGCAAGTGTGTGTTGCTTGAAATCGGGTCAACAGTCTTTTTTTTTGTATTGTTAAGTGTATGACTAGATTAACATTAAGAATAGTGATAAATGACATTGATGAAGATTAACGAGTGCAATTTGTAGCAGAAGTCTGCAGATTTTCTGAATACCCAGAACAAAATCACTTTAGTACAAAGCTAAAATTACATGTATCATCCCTCAAGTTAATCATATGAATGACTTTCAGACTATTATTTTCAGATAATCTGTCTTCTGGTCAGTTATCGCCAGATAGGACTAGGACGCCATTAGAGGAGCGCAATGCCAGACTGAGATCATGGAATGAATTCCAGCAGGACCAGACTTATGGACAGGAGATGCTAGGTAGTCTATTTTCTATAAGGATTTATTTTTCTTTCCTTAATTACTATATTATATTTCTCATGTTGTTACTGAAGAGGTTTGCAGTTTAGAATTGTATTCATTATGAGACACTTTGTTGGCTCAAATATTGACACTCATTCCCAGTCAGAATAGTAGATTTAATTTTACAAGTTTGACAGGTGCAAACTTACACAAATTTAAGGTGTGGGAAAAAATGCAAAAGGGTCTATGTAATATGTAAAGGAGGATTCAAGCCTCAGTCTGCAATATTTTTACTGTTAAAAAAAACTGTCAGGAGTATATTTGGTTTGACTTATTTGAAGTAGTGCATAGAAATATTTGACTTTTGCAACATTGTAAGATAAAAAATATCTTTAATTTTTTTTCACTGTGTTATTATCAGGTAGCCTCCAGTTTATTGGTCGTGGGGGTCAGCCCCAGGGGGTTCGTTACGCAGCGCATGACCTCGGTGAGACCCCAGAGGAGTACACAAAGGATATTGTTGTGGGCTATTCCAGACTGCATGGCACAGGTTCATATTTCTTTTCTTTTCTGTGGTGATTGATAACAAAAACACCCTCTTTTATATGTTTTTTTCGTGCAAATAAGTAATACAGATGCTTTTATGCAGCATCTGACTCAATTATCTAAGTTTCTTGTAAAATTTTGGATTATTCCCTGAATTGTTGCTTGGCTGTTTTTTGTCACAAAAAAACTGCAACTTTTCAGATTTGTGCTCATTAAGCATTAGGTTTAGTAAAATAATAGTAAAACTTTGTTTGATAGGATGATAATATTGTTATATTTATTTTAATAAATTAATAATAATTTTCATAAATTTTAAAAATGTGACAGGTGGGCACCAGAAGAGTCAGAACATCGTCAACTGAAACCACCTAATTTTTTTAATTCACCTAAATTATTTAAATACACACATGTTCAATGCACAGGTCCAGCACCAGGCATTGACCCCAAAATGCTGGTGTCCCAAACTACAGAAGAGTTCTATCAGCTGGCCGAGGGGTACTACCCAGACACACCCAAATACCCCTCCTCTGTGGTGGCTGCAATGAGGCCAAAGTCCACTCCTCCCGGGGCCAAGAGGTCAGCCTCTGTTATGACCAATTTTGGTGCCATGAGGAGTAGAGCAGCCACGCCAAAGAATAGGTAAGAAGCACAATTGTGATAATGATTGATGTTTTTGTTATAATTTTTTCATGGCTTTGATTATACAGCTTTCAAGTCAAGGGAATACATAGAGTTGAACTTAAGGATGTTCTAGGGATTGTAGGCTTTGAGTAAGTTTTAGTTTTCAGTGAGGTGCCAGCCATGGCCGAGTTGGCCACTAGATGTGTACTTACAAACAATCTATGGTATCTTGAAGTATTTATAGTCTTAGGCACTTGATAGTATTAAAAAGAGAATCAAGAGTGGACTCAAACACTTTTTCCATTTCACATACTTGATATCGACCATACAAATACTGGGGCCGGTTTCACAAAGCAGTAGTTAGTTAGAACAACTAACTACTGAACTACCTCGCTAACGAGCAAACTTAGCGATTTTCGAGGGGTGTTTCACGAAGCAGTAGTTAACTTATCGCTAAGTTCAGTCGTAAAGTTAGGTCGCTAGTTCTCTCGTTACTCACCGTAGTCTCGAAACCGTCTGCCGGAAGTGGAACTCTTGCGTAAAAGTGTCACGAAATCACTAACTCTCCAATTTTTGGTGACTGGAAATGCATAAAAACATCTGCTTTGAAGTCGTCGTAAAGGATCTCCACCACCTTTTTGCCGCTCTTTTTGTCACAGCTAGGCGCAACCTCTCGTAAATTGCATCATCGTGTGTATATTCTAATAGATTCTGCCTTTCATGAAAACGTCGTAGTCTACGTTGCCGTCTGGCGGTACGGTTAGCAAGAAAGGTAGCCGCCATATTGGATACAAAGACAAACGACAGACAACGGTAACTAAGCAACCTTTTTATTTCACTCATTACGCATGCGTACGATGAAACTCTAGAGTTAGCGACTGGTCTGACCAGTCGTTAAATATCCAAGGTAACAACGAGACAATAACGAGCGAGAGAACTAGCGACTGCTTCGTGAAATGGCACTCATAACTAGCGATAGGCTAACTACCGATCGCTAACTAACTACTGCTTTGTGAAACCGGCCCCTGGATACCAAAAGCCCAGTCGGAATCACTGCAGAATGTTCTATGAATCAAATTATTTTGTTGAAAGACATATATTCTGAAATTCTAAGACTTGACAATGTGATTCTGTTTCAACTTTAGGTCAAAGTCTGCCCTTGGTGCAGTCAGCCTCCAACATGTGATGCCTGACCCTCCTCCTGAGCCCAAACCAAGACTGGACGTCAAACTGGACACTGTGGTCAACCTCATAGACTCGGTCACTGATGACTTGAATTATTACAAAGAAAAGGTAAGATAAAGCAGGTAGATTTAATAAGTTACAATGTTGTTGATGTTTATGTTGAAATATTCCTTTTTTTCCCATGGCCATTAGAATGTTTGATATTTCAGAATTGTTTATTGTCAGAATCATAATTTTTACATCAATATTTCTTTTGTTTCTAATAGGCCATAGACTAATGATTTTAAGAAATACATGAAAGGAAGTGAACAATGTGTCATATTTCCCCAATATAATTTGCAAAGGTGAGAAGTAAACTGGAGATCAAAATAGAATTTATTCGTAAATCATTCTAATGCTTACTTCATACCATCAATTTCAGCTGACCCCTGAACCTTTAAATGGCTTCCGCCCACCAACCGCTGTAGTTGTGGCTAGTCGTCCAAACACTGCCGTACCTTTCATGAGGTCCAACCCACCTACTAGTCCACAGTAAGTAGTACACGATATATGATCAGAGACTTTGGGGAACTTGAGGGACGTAAGGAAGTTCTTCTTATTTGTTTGCTTGGTCTGTAAGGAATTTTTATTATTTTTTTTTGGGGTAATAATTTTAACATTTTCTGTCTCCTATTTCCATTAGATCTGAGAGGAATGATGAATCTCCAAGAGAGGAGGACTCCGAGTGGACTGTCCACTTCAGTCGACCACAGCCGCCGCCTGCTGTCCAGAACCCTGTCATGCAGGCAATAGACTGGCGGGGGAGAATCACTCCAGATACCACAAGATACAAGTAAGTTTATTATCAGATAATCATATTATGTTCAGAGTAAATGTTGTGATAGTGTATTGAATATCATATGGTCTTTATGATATCATATAAATTGTACTTCTTCCTCTGAGGTGTAACAATTTTTTAATAATTTCGTTTTCTTGAAAAATATTTCAGTAATTTTTTTTTTTCATGTAAAATTTTGATCGACAGGGAGATTTCAGGGGTATGAGCATTTTTTATTTCTGTTACTTAAGATTTTAATCATGTTCAAACATCTTTGATAGTGACTCCTAGATTTTTTTAAATGTTTGAGCACATAGTGTGACAATAAATAGATGAATCCCCTTTCCTTTCCAGATGGGCCACCACAAGTTTTGGAGGCCACACTTACATGAAGAAGTTGAAGCAGAAGATATCTCACAGGTCAGCAGGGAGTACGTCTGCTGGAAAAAGGCCCAAGACAGCCCCAATGACAGTCAGGGAGAAGTGGAATACAGACAAGGTATAGTGCTAGATAATAGTCAATATTTGATTGGATATGATATAATTTATTTAATAATATTTATTTTTTTATTTTACACATAAAAATACATGATAAATACGAGGATTACACAAGAAAGTGAAAATCCATTGGGGTCCATATAAGTCAATAGAAGCATTTTTAGTTTATAAGAAATGTCTTATCAACTGAAATAATTTAACTGTCAGAACTTAAGAAGCCTCCTGAAATCTATAATATGACTTTGGTTTTCAGCCAAGTGATGACAATTCTCGGATAGCTCAGGCAGCCAGCAACACCGTGACCCAGGTTGATCCCTCTGTCGTCTCCTCCATGGTGAAAGTACACAACCTGGGATCAGGAAATCCAAGGTGAGAATGACTTCATGAGCAAGTCATTTATTTATTTATATGACCCATTGGTACCCTTGTTGCCTCTAAGTTGTTCTATTTCACATGTCATTTGTTGGTATTTGAGAAAGCCAGAGATTCTAAAACAATTATTGGGGTTTGACCAGTTATTATGTACTCCGTATTCAGTGTACTATGACATTACTTTAAATTTACTTAGCTAGTAAGTTCCAGTACATTGTATTTTAACTTGTTTAGAAACCCTTTTTTTTACAAGTAGTTGACCAGAATTGCTCATTATTGTGAAAACTTATTATTAGGTGAACTTATTTTCTCTTTTTCTCATTAACATTTAAGTAAATTACCAAAAATTAAGAGGGTCCGAATTGTCAGGTAGTGTATAGCATGTTATTATAATTAATTTGAGGGAAGTAGATGTTGGTAAACCTTAGTATAGTCCTTTAGAAACTCCTTTTGCATTTACTCTTCATTTTCCCAACCTGCATTTGCACACACGCATGAAGTAATAATTGTCAAGTGCAAATACCCATGCACATGTACACTACGGGAAGGCATGTGCATGTACACACACACAGAGAGAGAGAGAGAGAGAGAGAGATGCATGTAAAGTCAAAAGTTCATCTTTTCTTCAGCTACTAGTAAGTCATCCTATTTTGCAGTAAATAATTGTCCAAGTGCTGCTTACTGTACTTTTTTTTCTTGATTCATGTTTAATAAGATTTTTAATTTGTTTAGTCATATATAACATTAATATTTTCAGGTAAAACAAACTTTGTAAAAGTCTTTTTGTAAATTTTTCCTAATTTCCTTTGCCAGTGACTGAATGAGTTTGTTTGTGCTACATAAATAGAAGAGTTATTTATTTCCTGTACTATGTAGCAATTTACATTAGCTGGGATGTTAATTTTTTCAAATAAATATAAGAGTATTGTTAAGCTTGCCAGTTAATTATATTCTTAAATTTAATTTCAAACTGTGAATGGTATCATTCAGATACTGTATTACTTGTTTCAACATGTTGCCTAAATTGCCCTTTAGTAGATCCTTCTCTAGGCCCTGCCAGTTTCACAAATGAACTGAACTGAAGTACTTTGTCTGAACTCTTAAACAAATAATTGGTCTTTTTCAAGCCAGGGTTTAATTCTCAAGTTGCTTCTAATAGTTAAACAACTTTGATTTCATATTTATTTATTCTTTTGTGAAACTGACTCCTGCTTAAATCTACCAAGACTTCTACTATCTGCAATCTGAGAGTACAGTAAAAGTGCTGTAAATAGATGTTTGGTCCAATTCTCCCGTTCACCCTTAACTGTGAAGAATATAATAAGGTGTTGTGTCATAGTCCCTCATGTTCTCAGTTGTCTTTCAGTTCAGATTTTTTTTCATGGGCGTGAATATTGAAATAATTTATTAAAGATATGCACTTACATGTAAATATTGCATTTAATATGTGGAGAAAATAGTGTGAAGATTGATAGATATTGAATCAAGAAGTGGCAAAAAGATATGTAGAAATATGGGATTTTTTATTTTAAATTTATATTTTCTGTTCACTGGATATAATACTTTTTCAGACCAGGAGAACCAGAAGATGATATACTGTCCAAAGTCAAACAGGTATTTTATGTGTTTATTTTACTTAAGAGGGCTGTATTCTGCCTATTTACATTCAAGTGCTGATTGCTTACTTCCAAATATACTCAGTGTTTGGCATCATTGGCACAATAACTATCCTCATGTAGTTATCATTTTGAAAACGCTAAAATGAATTACTTTTCACATTTTTGACTAGTCTATCCTTAAATGCCAAATACCTCACAAAGTATATTTTATTTTGTAAATTAAAAATGAATCTTATAAACTGCCAGGAATGTGCCATCTTAAACTCATGCTTATTAATTTGATGGGAATTTAACTTGACAGTACAAAATTGAATTGCAAAGAATTAATTTTAGAATGTAACCACTCTTATGGGTCAACAACTGTGAGTGTTTTTTTTTTCTACCACCAGGTTCATCACAAAGTGACCCTGTTCTCTCCAGAAGGTGGCAGCAGTGCTCCTTCATTCAGAGCAGACTATCCTCCTCCAGGTTCTAAAGACATGGAATTCCTCTCTCTTGTGGCCCCCAGATCAATCCTAAGTAAGTACTTATTTATATTTATTGTACTACTGATGTTCATTTATTTATTTTGAATTTTTTTAAATTTATTTTTCATATGTCAAGAGATGAGAAAATGAAATCCAAAGCAAGTTTATTTTAATTAACAATCATTTAAAAATGCCTTTGTTCTATTTTAGTACCCCCAAAGAAAGATGGTCACATGGAAAGGTGAGGAAATTTATCATTACTTGTCATTTTATTTTTGTGTTGTTCAAAACCACCAATATTGAAATTCATTTGCTCTTGCCCACAGTTATTGAGTTAAACAGTTGTAGAACAAATTTACTTATTATCATTTTAAACATATTTTAGCATATTTCTGTTTGCAGCTATTCTCCTGACTATTGTTTTATTCTGCACATTATTCTTAGCATGTTACATGTCTCCAAGTTAGACACAAATTAAATAGTTTAATATGCTTTTGATCAACAAAATGTAAGAACTATTTTTATTTTGAAATACATATCCAGCTTTGAAATCACGAAATTTTAAGTTGTGATTCCCCAAGATCTCTTTATCCCCTTAACCTCCATCTATGTAAGTGCACTTCAAAATTTATTTTATTTTATGTGTCACCACCCGCAGCATGGTCACCACACCCCGCGACGTCAATCTTCCCGTTCCCCTGCACTCTGCTGCGGGGGACTCCCCCAGCATCTCCAGTGCACATGTATCTCAGAAATACTATGGCTACAAGGGCAGTGACTCCAACATGGGAGATGGTGACAGGCCTGATACCATGCTGAAGAGTTTAGATATGGATCTTATTAATCGGTTACAGGTAAAGAGAAAAAGAAAAAAATGTGGTACCTGAAGGAGAGATGAAGTAAATCTGGCATTATTTAGTTCAATATAACAAGTATTGTTTAATTTTATCTTTTGGTAAAAAAATTATTTTGGGTTGTATGTTTGATAATCATGCATACACGGTGAATGATAAACATGAGT